TCTTCTCAAATTCGACCTCTTTGTCAACACTGATCATGCGCACCAACCTATTCAACTGAGTTGGAAACACTTACCAGCCATCGTTCAGCGATAGCGATCCTTTCGTCTAAAGATACCTTGTGCCATACCTTCTGAGCTTTGATAGCTTCGCTAATGACGCCGTCGAGCTCTTGAGGAGTGACGAGGAGACGAGTGCAGTATGGTTTTTGGGTGTAAGGGGCGATGGTAGTTTGGATATCAGCAGAAGATGCGTCCATGTTGGAGTGAATGCTGAATATGACGTGACTCTTTAAAAAGAAGAAGGAATGATGTCGAGTTGCAACGAGCTTTTGATCACACGAAAAGTATGCATCATAGACGACGGAACAACAACATAAAGTCCACCCGACCATCAACCAGTCTTTCTGACTGATGCATGATGCAACTGCTACATGCTACAGAGCCAATCACCAACTCTTTCTTCAAATCATACATAGGAATACGATGTCCACGACATTCGGCTAGGTAACATAGCGGGGCTGGTGTCGGTCTTCTCCAAGGTCATCAAGAACTGAGTAGTAGATTCAATAACGTGAAGGACAGTATCGTCGCAAACATATCTCACTCTGTCGCTATATTGCTTAGCTCTCTAAAGTCGACCCCATACTCGTATCCCCAGAGCGCCAGAGCGTCTCTGCGCTGCCGACGAGGCAAGAGCTGTCATCTATGGCGTAAGTAATCTATGCAATTTGTCCCGGTCCTTCGGAATTTGAGTAGAATGACCAGCTGATGTCGAGGGAAATTGGGGATGTTGTTCAGTACCTCAGCGCTGCTAGCTGCTTCAAATCTCACTACGATACATAGTGCTGTATCATAGTGTGGGACTCGACGTCGACTGCGATTCATGATGCTCACTCACTGACCGAATTTATTGTCGACAATTTCGCCAATTTCTCCCAATATTTCTTCGTCGCCAATGAACTATGGACCGACGTGCAACGATAACTTACTACTTTACTTTCTCCTCGAGCTCGACATCATGTCCGACCCAGTCGCCAAGAAAGAGAAAAAGGACAAGAAGCGCAAGTCCCAAGCCGCAGACCTTTCCATGGCCGATGTCACCGAGGCGGTCCAACCCATACCTGTCCCTCCTCCTCCCGGGACAGCGAGTGCTGAAGCAGTCGTCATCGAGGTAGACGCTGAGAGAGCTGCTAAAAAGGCGAAGAAAGAAAAGAGAAAGTCTTTAGCTGCGGGAGAAGAGTCGATCGTAGTTGAGGGGCAGGAGGTCAAAGTAGGTTTTTCCATCAACTCCTCTCACAGTAGTGATGATACCCCCCGCCTCTCATCCCATTTTCACCATAGGGGTCTAGCATCGAGGAAATTTGGAACATGTCCACTGACCGACAGCCTGAGTTCTACGTTCCACCAGATGCCATCTCACCCATTGCTTCTCCACTCGCCGGTCGAAAACTTTCCAAGAAAGTCTTCAAAACTGTGAAGCGTTCTTCCAAAGTCCGACAATTGCGAAGAGGGGTAAAAGAGGTCGTCAAGGCTCTACGTAAAGGAGAAAAGGGATTATTGGTCCTGGCGAGTAATATCACTCCAGTGGACGTCATTAGTCATTTACCCCTACTGGCCGAGGAGGCGGCGGGGGTAGAGTATTGTTGGGTGTTGAGCAAGTAAGTCTCAGTGTACCTAACTTGACCCATTCCGGTGATGTGGGACGTAATGAAGCATCTCGTCCTTGCCCTGAGTCTTGCTCAAAGTTCACTCGCGAGGTCAGACAGCTGACGTCTCAGGGAAGAACTGGGGGCTGCGGGTGGTACAAAACGCGCGACGTCCTGCGTCCTGGTCAGGTGAGCTTAACTCGTTTCTTTCATTTTGTGTCAGACTCCGTCAAGGCTTGATCGACTGTCAACCAGTGAATCGGTGGTTCCCATCTTTCGAATCTAGTTCAGCATGTATTCATACGTTGAAAGACCATCGCTGATTCATAGCTCGGCGGTGGTCAAAAAGACGCCGGCCAGCGGTGCCGTTGCCAAACCCGCCATCAGTCCAGAAGATATCAAAGAGTGGGAACAAGGTCTCAAAGAGTGCATGGAAGAAGTTAAGAAGTTGGACTATGTCGGAGCTGTCCAATACTAGAAATTCACCCTTCCCTACCACCCTTTCTCACCGTCTCATTACATCCTTCCGGCATTTGAACATACCTCGCGATCCCCTCGCTTCGTCGAATGTAAATTCTACACTACGTAGCAGGTTTCATTGACACTACCTCTTTTGATATCTCACACATATCTGATCTCGATACCTTAACAAATGCCTCTACTCGCCCTTTATTCCATTTCAGTTCCACCCCAACCCCCTTCTCGTCACGTGCTTCTCACATGCTGGCTGACGACGGTTCGACCTGACAGTGATACCTTTAGCATCATTTTTAGGTCCCAGATCGAGGCGTAGGCCCAAGGTTGGTAAACAAGTGATCAAAATCCCTCGGCTTGAAGATATTCCGACAACAACGAAGGATCTAGCCAGCCCGCGCAAGATATGCTACGGTGGCCGGGAAGTCTCAGGTTAACATCGCCACGCTTCACCTCCATCCCAGACACTGGAAACAGCATTGTTTTCCCTTCTTCTTCTCTTCTAGGCGAACTTACTATCCTTGGCTATATGCTGGCACCATAAACGTCTAAGAAGCAAGTGTATGAGTCCCCTTATCATGACTGATACATATATCACAGAGTCGATCTACCGCCCCGCCGGCCGCCAAACCAACATAAGACTACTCTTAGTCTTTGTCACCAAGTTTTCTGCCCTTCTCAGGACCGGATGCTTTTGAGTGCTTAGTGAACCTAGGGGATCTCAGATCAGTGTACCTCATCGGCTCATTGGTGAGTAAATACTTGAAATCTTTGAACGCAATGTTATTGCAATGTAGTGAAACCATGGAGATCCGTGTAGATCTTTCACCCTCCTCACACCTACCAGCTTCCACAAAGTTCCATGCTTATTCATCTCTTAGGTATGTAGGTATCTCGTAAATATATACCTGTCACGAACTACGTCGTGACACCTCGATTACTCCACCAACAATGACCCTCCTTTGGCCATCAAAACCCCATCACGCCTTAACCTCTTTACTCTACACGTAACTCAGGACTTCTGACACCAAGTACGGCGAAGTTAGACGGAGTTAGGCTAAGTAGGGACAATGGGAGCAGAAGTACGACGAAGTTAGACGGGGTTAGGCTAAGTAGGGACAATGGGAGCAGAAGTGCGGCGATGTTAGGCGGGGTTAGGCTAAGTAGGGACAATGGGAGCAGAAGTGCGGCGATGTTAGGCGGAGTTAGGCTAAGTAGGGACAATGGGAGCAGAAGTGCGGCGATGTTAGGCGGAGTTAGTCGAAGGAGGAAGAGGATGGCCGAGGGCTCGGGGAAGTTGGACGAAGTGCGTTGAAGTACGTCAAAGCGCGAGAGGGTTGGATGAACGTCTAGGAGGAGTAGATAATATTAGCTGAGAAGATCGCTGAAGTTCTTCAGCGATCCTTGATTGTTGTCAGTAGTGAAAGACAGATAGAGATAGCTATAAATCAAGATACATCGCCATCAGTAGAACAAAACCCTAGTTAGAGTAACTACGCCGAAGTACGCCGTAGTTACACCCCTTTCGACGTCTGCGCCCTCCTGGTTGGGTGAGACATCGACTCAGAGCGTGAAGTTAGCCGAGGTTCGTCGACCGTCGGTCTATTAAGAAATAGTTGTTCGACGGCCGTGACAGTATCAAGGATCGCTCTTACCGACGACCCGTGCGAACCTCGGAGAAGTACAAAGATAATATGGAACCAGAAAGAAGAATTACACGAGGGATGAGTAGGGATGGAGACAGGATGGAGGAGAACGAGAGGAGAGCATTGGAGGAGCTTAGCAGAGCAATGGGGCAGGACCTTGGAGTGGAGGATAGTGTGGGGGGATCAATTCAAGGAGATGAGTTCGTTCCACCGGTGCCTTCTAACCCTCCTTCTCCTCCGTCTAATGCTCTCCCACCTGCGGGATCCCCACTTGGATCAGACCAAACCCCACGCCCAAGAGAAAACACTGGAAGTACGGCGAACTTGGGAGAAGAAGGAACACAAGGGGTGGTGTTGGCCTTGATGCAGATGGTGGCGAATATGAACAAAGACATGATGGAGGAGAGAAGGCGTAGGGAGGAATGGGAACAGAGAAGAGAAAGGGATACAGTGGGCGGGATTGCAGAAGGGATATCAGAAGGAGTGAGGTACGCCATGGGACGGCAAACTTCGGCGACCCCAAGCGTAGTGGGCGAACAACGGAAGGGGATAAAGCTACCTAACCCAGACCTCTGGAGAGGAGATCGGAACAAGTTAACCGCCTTTCTGTCTGAGTGCGACGTACATTTCGAATTGAACTCTCATCTTTTCCCCGACGACACTAAGAAAGTCTTTTTCATGATCTCTCATCTACGCGAAACACCTCTTCTTGCAGTGCAGCCCGATCTATCCAAAAGACCTCTTCCTGAGTACCTCACGACACACGATCAGTTCGTTAAATACCTCAAGACTAACTTTGGTGATCCAGACGAAGAAGGAACTGCGGCCCGACAACTTAACGACCTCAAGCAAACCGGGTCTGCTTCGGACTACTTCTCCGCCTTCCAGCGACATGTTGCGATTCTTAAGTGGTCTGATGATGGAAACCTAGTTGACCGAGCCAAGAAAGGACTAAAATCGCACCTTCTAGATGAAATTGCAAGACACGGTAGATCGTTTGGGACTGTGAAAGAGCTATTGGAGTTTGTGATTCCCTTGGACAACCGCCTGTGGAGGAGACAAGTGGAGAAGGAGGCAGAGAGGAAAAGGGAAGGAGGGATAAGGACAACGACAGTGGTGGAAAGTCAGAGGACGGAGAAGAAAGAAGAGAAGAAATGGGAAAAGGGGCAACCTTCGGCGCAGGGTGGTGTCCAGGCGGCTATGATGTCGACGGTGGTAAAGAGTACACCGCCAAACATCGACGAAGTTCGCCGAAGATGGCCTAGGCCGAGCTCCGATCTGAGGGAGACAAGGAGGAAGGAGGGGAAGTGTACCGAGTGTGGTGAAGCAGGACATTGGCTGAAGGAATGCCCTGTAAGGGAGGCTAAGGTTAAGGTTGGACTGTTGCCTCCATGGGGGGAGAAGTTCGGAGAACGTGGTGGAGGATCGGGAGGGAACGCAGTACCTCTCGGACAGAGGAGGAACTTGAATGCGGTTGGAGGAGAAGTGGATTTGGAAGAGGACCAGGGAAAAGAAGAGGACCTGTCGCAGTAGGCGAGGCTCGGCGGGTCCGCCATATTCTCTCGGCCACCATTCCCAAACCCATAAAAGAAACACAGCTGATGGAGCCAGAGGATTGTGAATACAAAAATACACCACTCAGTACCCCTTGTTCATGCAATGTCGATAATCATCTCCTCATCCCTTCCGTTTCCAGAGATCAACCTAAATCGGACATTTTCATTAATGGAATAAAGCTAACTACGCTCTGGGACACTGGAGCTACTTGTTCATATATAAGCCCTAAGGCAGCAGCGAAGATAGGTGTAGAAAAGAGGCGATATCAGGTGAGCGTACCCGTTCACATGTTCGACGGCTCGGTGAGTGTCGCTGGACCCATCACCGAGTTTGTCGAAGTCGGATTTAGTTTGACGAAGGACGCCGAAGTGCGATCTGTTTGTCTCGATGTAACAACGCTCTGCGACGCAGATGTTGTGATAGGGTGGGATTGGATGAGGAAGGAAGGGGTTGTCCTTGATGGAAGAGACAACTCGGTGAAATTTCCCATCCCAACCCCACCAAGTGCGGCGAAGTTAGCGGCCATAGGGCTGCCGACTCTGACGGACGCGATAGACCTCCGCGGCGAAGATGAGCTTGAAGAGCTGAGCCCGGAGGAACAAGACGAGTTGTTCCAGGTAGTTCCTGAACAATACCACCAGTACATTGACGTTTTTAATCCGAAGAAGGGAGGAGAGACCCTTCCCCCTTCAAGGTCCTACGATTTGAAGTTTGAGCTTAAGGAGGGGGCGAACCTTAAGGTCGCCTCCCTCTATGCTCAAGGAGAAGATCAGAGACGCGCGCTGAGAGACATACTAGATCGCGAAATCGCCGCTGGCCGAATTCGGGCAAGTAACTCGCCATACGGCTCACCAATGTTTATGATACCGAAGAAAGCCGAAGGACAGTGGCGAATGGTCATCGACTATCGAAAACTGAACGAAGCGACCATACCAGATGCCTACCCTCTCCCTCTAATAGGTCAAATTACCGAAGAACTTGGAAAAGCAAGGTATTTCAGCAAACTAGATCTAATTGGAGCATACCAATTGTTGAGGGTGACAGAGGGACATGAACACCTGACGGCGTTCAGGACACAGTATGGTATGTTTGAATCTCTGGTTGTTCGTGATGGGCTGCGAAACGCCCCCGCGGTCTTCCAACACTTCCTAAATGAGGTGTTTAGAGAGCTACTAGGGAATGGAGTCGTGGTCTACATTGACGATATCCTCATTTATGGGAATACGTTGGAGGAATTACGAGGAACTACGGCGAAGGTCTTTGAGGTACTGCGGAAGGCGAGCCTGTACGTGAAAGCTAGTAAGTGCGAGTTCGAAAGAGATTCGGTGGTGTTTCTGGGTTTCGTGGTATCCTCTAAAGGTGTATCGGTGAACCCAGAATACATTGATGCCATCACTTCCTTCCCACGTCCTAAGAATCTACGAGAGTCAAGGGGTTTCATTGGAGTTGTAAGCTACTACAGGCGCTTTGTCCCCAACTTCTCGAAGATTGCTAGACCTATCAATGACTTGACAAG